AGCTAGTCATCACCACCCACCGCCAACTCTTGGGCTACTCTTTTACCAACATTTAGATAAAAAATTACGTCTCGGATCGGCGCCTTTCTCTTCGTTTTAATGCTTCGCGGATTAATCTTAATTTAATTATATCTCTACTCCTAAACTAATCTACTAAGTAATCCGTTAGATTATTAATCGCTTCTTAATCTCTCAAGTCGGTTTTCGAAAATCCCTTTCGAACGGTGTAACGAAAAGTATAGTAAAAAAAAACACAAGAATTGAATATGTGTCGGTTTAAGGTAGTAGTAGTAGTACGCTCTAAAAATAAAACACTGAGGAACAGACGTCAATTGTTAAAATATTCCATTGCTCTTCTTTTCTTACTACAGCACAGAAATTCTTATGGATAAAACAAGCACTTCTGTTCTGATGAGTTTGTAAAGATTGAGATAAACCACGCAACTACAAATACTTCCACCGCTAGGGTGCGCTACTAGCATGCTTTACCAAATAACCACACAAGGCATGATTTCACATGTGCGATACGCGTTCGGAAGACTGCAACATAAGACCGACAGCAACCCTGTGTCTGAAAATATTCAAGCATCTAAAATCTTCGCCACGTTGGAGGGAGAGTCCTCTAGCGAGGAAAATTCTTTGGATTGTGTGTGTGTAATTTTGTATAAGTATATAAATTAGTCGCTTGAAAGGCAACTATTTTTTAAAGTCACGAAATATGATAAGTTTCGTGTACAAAGGAGAAGGAACAACAGAAGAGATGTAGATTTTTTCTCCAAGCTATATGGGTAAAAATGGCCAGCGTAATTGTTTATTTGTAGTTAAATCGCAATGTTACACGATGGGCTGTCTGTGTTGTGCCCACCCAGGTGATCGAAACCTGGTTTTTAGCGTTATAAGCCTTCAGACTTAGCGTTGTGCCACTCGGGGGCGACCGCGGGTATTAAGTTCGTATCTTAAAAGTGGTAGAACTCACAAGATTCCGAGCTCTCAAGCTAGAATTTTAATAGCAAAGTAAAGTTTTTATTCAAATATGAACAATAAAAAAATAGAAACAATTATTTCGCAACAAATGATACTAATTCTCAACATAATTCAGTCTGAATACAAAAAAATCACTTGGAATATTAAATCAACTCCAACAGTTTGACATAAAAAAAAATCGCTTTAAAGTAACGAAACGGGTATGCTTGTTATTAACCGGGTATCGAAACCCGGTTTTTAATGTTATAAGCCTTTCAGAGTTTCCGTTGAGCCAGTGGGGAACTAAACGGATATGTCACCTGAAAGCTCGTTTCCTGCCACCTCTCTCTCTCTCTTGCCCCACAGTGGCATAGCAGTAAATATGAAGGCTTATAACACTAAGAACTGGGTTTCGATACCGGTGGTGGGCACAGCACGGATAGCCCATTGTGTAGCTTTTGCTTAACTCTCTCGATGTCGTTTGATTCTTTAATCTACCAGTTTCTTCAGATCCTGTGAGCAAGACCCAAGTTATGACAGGCTGTTAAATCTCCCATGTCTGTTGTCTCCAGATCGTGTTTTTTTTTATCGCCATCTCACACCCACAAACATTCTTATATGACTTTAGTTTGGCCAACATTCTGTTGTTGTTCCCATGCAGAAATAGTTACACAGTGAAGTCAAGCAACTACAAAGGTTTTTTTTTTTTTTCATTCTCAGTGATGTTTAAATAACAATAATAACACAAACAATTTTCCATATTATTAAACGTCCATTGTTACTTTGATTAACTTATTGTTTCCAACACAGACAAATATTTTAAACATTTTGAATCAAAAACTTATACATTGACTCGGGATTATAAAAACAGTGTATGGAAAGCATTTCTAGGGGTTAGGGGGCGCGTCCACCTATGGTTTATGGGCATGACCACCCTGGAATCACAATAACAAATCTGAAAAAAAAAAGAAATGCTGTTTAAAACTTTCACTACTCAGACTCGGATAAACTTACAAGTAAAAGCAACTCACTGGTTTAAGCCTTCGAAACAAAATAGTAAATGTTAGACAATAATAATACAAGCTTTTTTTCATTTGTTTTAAATCTCGTGTTTATTCTAAAAAAGAAAAACGCTAGTTTCTTTTTTAAAGCGCCACAACTGTTTCGTTTACAGTTGTTAAATAGTTACAATGCTTGAAGTTGTCTCCAACATTCTCCAGAAAACCGAAATCTTTGTCAGTCTGTGCACTTGTTTCTACTAAAACTGAGCCAACTTTCTAGAAAAGCGGAGATTTTCTTGTTTTTGGAACTTTTAATCTTCTGAACGACTGCGGGCTCACAACTTTAATTTTCATGATAATCTTTAAAAACGTTCTAATTTCACCCACTCAAAAGATCACGTCTCATCCATCCTTCATTTGTTGTTGTTGTTGTTTTTTTTTGTTAGAAAAACTTGTTTCTAAAGATGACCTATAACATGTTTTTGTGGCTATTTATTTAAGTTTTGGAAAAATGGCGACGGAATTCTAAATTAAGCAGGTTAATTTGAGCGTTCTGTGATTTCTGGAGCAAAAGGAGGTCAGAATTGTAAATTAACAGTTTAATATTAGTTTTAACGGTTCTAGGCACACACACAAAAAAAAAGTTAAACTAATTTATTATCCAAATGTGTAAAGCTCTCTAGTACACACTACAAATTTGTTATTGTAATTTTTTAAAAAAGAAAAGTTTGTTCGTTTATTTTTGAATTTCGCGCAAAGCTACACGAGGGCTATCTGCGCTAGCCGTCCCTAATTTAGCAGTGTAAGACTAGAGGGAAGGCATCTAGTCATCTCCACCCACCGCCAACTCTTGGGCTACTCTTTTACCAATAAATAGTGGGATTGGCCGTCTCTTTATAACGCCCCCAAGGCTGAAAGGGCGAGCATGTTTGTTGAGATGGGGATTCTAACCCGCAGATTGCGAGTCGAGCTCCCTAACCACCTGGCCATGCTGGGCTAAAAATAAAAGGTGCGCTAATGTGGAATTAATTAATTTTCTGGCTTGATAATTAGGTAATTAGCTTGGTAATTAGGGCGTTTGACTCGCAATCTGCGGGTCGTGGGTTTGGATCCCCGTCACCGAACATGCTCGCCCTTTCAGCCTTGGGGCTTTTAGAATTTGATGGTCAATCCTACTATTCGTTGGTAAAAGAGTTGGCAGTGGGTGGGGGTTGACTAGCTGCCTTCCCTCTAGTCTATCACTTCAAAATTATGGACGGCTAACGCAGATAGTCCTAGAGCAGCTTTGTACAAAATCCTAAATAATTAAACCTATACAATTTCAAGGAAACGCATAGCAGTTAAGTATATATCTCTTTCTTTCCAGTGGCGTAATTGCAAAAGATGCCTCCCCCCCCAAAAAAAAGTAATTGGGCCCCCTACGTTTATTTTCCTATAATTGTACTTACGATTCTGGCTGATTCGAGCCCCCTTTTGGCTCGCCCCCCCCCCCTCAATTGCGGGATCATACTAACGCCACTGTCTCTAACTGCCCCTCAATGGAACAGCGGTATGTCTGCGGACTTACAACGCTAGAAACTGAGTTTCGATACCCGTGGTGGGCATAGCACAGATAGCCCTTGGTGTCGCTTTGTGCTAAACTACAAACAAACTGTCTCTTTCAATCCGTCTATTTCCAGCTAAAAACGACACCACGTAACCATACAGAAGTGATAATAGCAAGTAATGCTTGGCAGAGTGACGTCACGGGGTACAGGTACTAGAATCTAGACGAACGACAGTGTTTTATCGTTATTTCTGTAGAATAGGGTTGTACGGTAGGCTTAACATGGAAGAGAATCGGGAGTTAGTGACTGTTTAACAGATGCGTAGGCCTATCGGGTTACGAAACATGGCTCGTAAGAACAATGGAAGATGTTTATATAGTAAAAAAAAAAAAATTCCGTACGTGTTTTACGTTTAGGAAATACAATGGTTATTCGTAAAAAACAGCCTATCGTGATTTGGTTTTACTGGAAATCTGCCTGCCAGAACAGGCTTGTTTTATTTGCTGTGTTTTTTTTTCCTCATCGTCTTTCGTCCTTTTTATCTTTCCTTTTTTTTTTTTCTCGTGACCTGTTTAATTCTATAAAGAGAAAAGTCCTCTAAATCCGTGTGCTCCCTAATCCGGGCGAAGCAGTTCCGAGATATATTTATCATGTTACGTTATTGGTTGTTTTCTTGTTCCATACGTGCCGTAGTTTTATGAATCCTAGCGTCTGATTGGTCTGGAAGTGTGACGTCACTTGATCCAGCCTAACGCCAAGCTGGAAGAATACTTGATACATCTTGGTTAGATCACTCTGCCTTCTCATCTGGAGCAAAGCAAGCCTCATTTTTACACAGCTCTTCTCCGTTTCTCCAACTTACCAGCATGGTAAGATCCTGTTCATTATTTTGAGTTGAAGTTAAATGTTTTTACTTTTCTCCTGAACAAATACGATAAGGTATTAATATCGGTTCGTCATTTTGAAAGTCGTATATTCCTAACTTGCATCCATGTTTTTATTATATTATGTAATTTAAAATATCTTAATTTTGATATCAGAATAACCCAAGCGTTAGAAAAACAAACTACTAAATACAACTAAGTTACTTAAAACGTTTTACTTATTTTTTTTTATTCCCAAATAATCGACTTATCTATTTAAAAACAAAAGTTTTACTTCCAAATAAAAATAATAATCTCGGTTGCAGTACTCAAGTTAGGTATATATGTAAAAGCGCTCGACTCACAATCTGAGGGTCGCGGGTTCGAATCCGCATCCCACCAGACATGCTCGCCCTTTCAGCCGTGGGGGCGTTATAATGTGACGGTCAATCCCACTATTCGTTGGTAACAGAGTAACCCAAGAGTTAATGGCGACTGGTGATGACTAGCTGCCTTCCCTCTAGTCTTACACTGCTAAATTAGGGACGGCTAGCGCAGATAGCCCTCGTGTAGCTTTGCGCGAAATTCCAAAACAAACAAACAATATATGTAAAAAAAAAGAAACACTACCGAGGATTGGTCCATCTTACAAAAATCTGTCGTAGTTTTGAAAAGAAAAAAAGAACCAGAGATACATAAAAATTAATATATTTTATAGTATGGGTATGTATACATTAATGGTGTTTAGATGTATTCAAAGTTTCTGGAATTAAGAGCTGACATTAATGCATAAGTTATTGCGTTAGAATAAGACTGGCGAGTTGTTAAATAAACAAAAGTTAGAAACTTCTAACAGCACGTTCAAGCCATTTTTTTTTCAGTCCTTACACGTTTCTTTGGTGGTGAGAAAGTTGCAGTCGGATACCACAAAAAAAAATACCTCTAAGCTGTGTGTGCGTTATAAGAGCGGCAGTCAGTCCATTGGCGTCGATCGTGGATGGTATGGTGCTTGCTGCTGGTTGGCTGCCTTTCTTATATTCTGTATCACAAAACTAACGAAAGCGACTATTAGCTCTAATGGCTTTGCCTTAAACACAAAACGTTCGGAACGTAGGTTTAATTTCTCGGGTTATTTTTATTCACTTGGAAAGTATTAAAGACGTTTTCTGTTTAATCAAGAATTATTTTGGAAACAATTTAGTCCTCAAAATATGAAGTCAAGTTGTTGTTGTTTTTTTTTATTTCTATCGTTTCACAGTCCGAACTGATGCGACTCGGTCAGTGTTTTGGTCATTAGCTACTTACAACGATCGAAACGAAATGGAACTAAAAACGAGGTTACCTCCATCTTGACTGATTCATTCTAATCTTTATAGATTTTTAGTTTTCTGTCTGATCTACCGATTTTAAGATATTTAACACTCTTTGTTGTAGAGGGCTAGCTTCATTCGTTTTCTAAATTACTTTATATACCGAGCATTGTTTTTTTTTTTATCAGATTCGTTTAACAATTGTCCGTTTTTTCTAGATATGTTTATCGTTTTGGGTTTGTGTGTTTTCTCTGAAATCTTTGTGAATATTTTAAAACGAGTGTCGCAAAAGAAGCATTAGAAAATAGGCCACACTTTCAGAAAAACTCAATTTATTAAAACTGAGACTGGAAAAGAAGTCTGCCCTAAAAATGATGACGTTAAAAATGCTCGTAATTAAAGTTACAGCATATCCGAATGAAAACTAGTTGTTGTTTTATAAAACCAGAGTTTATAGTTGTGTTAAAACTGGTATAAAGTATACGAAACAAAATTACCAAATTCGTTTTCCAATCAATGTCAGGATGTCTCATGCATCCATCCATACTCCCTCGTGTTTATTTTAACACGTTCATACTTATTTTTTTTAACTCTCCTTTTTTAAACATTAAAAACTTGGCTTTACCTTAAGATGTGCTGTTAAATCTTCCTAATAATTATCGCCCACGCCCTTTATTCCTTTGAACCTGATCATAAGTAGCGAAAAAATAAAACAGAGCACCAGTAGAAAAACATATCTCTAAAAACTCGAAGTTCATCCAGTATTCACATACCACAGCTTGCTTCCTCCGGGGCCGATCATCCAGAAATAGACTTTGGGTACCTGCCGTTTCGGGGACAAGGGGCGAAAATATAGATTGCAGTTTGTCTTAGCCTTTTTAGGCATGGCTATTATTAGAGTACAAAAATGGCGACCATCTTTTCTTAGAAGACACAAGAGAGAGAGAGAAAAAAGTTTCAAACAAGGACTCTTAGACCATCGTTACGAGGAGTTTGTTATTGCGATTAACTCAGAGGACGCTAGATGGCAGTGTTGAATATCTTTGTCGATATATATATATATATTCTTTAACAGCTGTACTTAGTCTAATATAGGCGTCTAAACGCCCCAGAGATAATATGTTTATAAATCATCACTAAAATGGGTGTGTGCTGATCAACACCACTCGGTATAAAAGATTTTAATAAAACGCCCTCTCTTGAGCATCGGGTATAAATAAATACATACATACAAATACATTATAATTTGTCACTTATACATATTAACATGCTATCTTAGCCTTATCTTTATAAGGTAATTTTTTTTTATTCACGTTAATAATTGCGGAATTTTAGCCTAAAATTATCGGGCCTCCAGTGGCTAATTCCGAAGGCTTACAACGTTAAAAATCGAGTTTCGATGCCCACGGCGGGCAAAACACAGATAGCTTATTGTGTAACTTTGAGCTTTTAAAAAAAAACTTGTCGATTGAAATGGCGAAAGCTAACGAAGTATTGAAATTAAATAGGATAAAACCTGTAATGGGCAAGCTAAGGGGACTGTGCAGTTAAAGTGATTTTTATTTAAATACTTGTGTGTAATACGTTCTGAAGATGTCATTAGTTTGCCATTGTGGCGTTTTTCTCATTGCATGATTGTTTTACTAGCATCTTCTCCGAAGAGCTGCGCTTTTTAATGAATGAAGTCAAATAAGACTCTGGAGCAGCCTGCCGAACTGTGTATCCGAGAGTCCGTGGTTTGCGTCCCTTTGCCACAAAACCGTGCTCCGCATTTTGGGGCTGCGAATACCTTACAGCCACCACAATTCAATTAGAGTATCTGAACAGTTAGCGGTGGGTGCTGTTGATTAGTTGCCTTCCCTCTACTCTATCAGTTTAACCCGTGGTGGGCAGAGCACAGCTAGCCCATTGTGTAGCTTTGTGCTTAACTACACACGAACGAACAAACAAAAAATAAGTTCAGAGTTAGGAAACACTAACGCAGATAGTCCTTTAGGGTTAGCTTTATGTAAGTTAAAACTTTAAAATGTTTGTTTAGCCTAACTTAAATGGGAAACAGTAAAACGAGGCTGCTCTCAAATTGAAACTCTGAAATAAGATTATTAAATGTTTCTCCAGGCGGATGACAAGAAAGAGAAGAAGAAGAAGAGTAAGAAGAAGGAAGAGGCACCAGCAGCTCCAGAACCAGAGCCTGAGCCAGCTCCGGCCCCCGCCCCAGCTCCAGCTCCTGCCCCTACGCCTGCATCTAAGGGGTCCACTAAAAAGGCGGCCAAGAGGTCGGGTTCAAACGTTTTCTCCATGTTTACTCAACGCCAAGTACAGGAGTTCAAAGAGGTAATCAGCAGCGCCATCTAGAGATCTTTATACAAAGTAACCACGTTTTGAACGAGTGGATATGGGTGGACCAAATAGAATAATATATCACGTAATTTAAGAATAATGTATCACGTAATTAAATGCATAAAAATATCTATATTAGTAAATTTAAAAAAAAAATTTCTTGATTTTGTTTTTAATTTTGAGAAAAATCAGTTAATGGTTGTGTAAAACATAACGTCACCTTTAAACAAGAATGGGAAGAAAGACAATTTTGTTGTTGTTTTTTTTTTAACTTCCTTTTATTAACAGAAGTAACACATTCCTACATGTTATTACAAGTATTATGTATTGTTTTTTACTTCCTTTTATTAACGGAAGTAACACATTCCTACATGTTATTACAAGTATTATGTATTGTTTTTTACTTCCTTTTATTAACGGAAGTAACACATTCCTACATGTTATTACAAGTATTATGTATTGTTTTTTACTTCCTTTTATTAACGGAAGTAACACATTCCTACATATTATTACAAGTAGTATGTATTGTTTTTTACTTCCTTTTATTAACGGAAGTAACACATTCCTACATATTATTACAAGTATTATGTATTGTTTTTTATGTTTTCCATACCCTATTATCCTGTAAACTTTATTGTACTAATTTTGTTTTTGTTCTTGACGATTTACCGTAATTATTTCGCTTTTTGAAATAGATCCTTTAAACGTACATGTTACTACTATTAAAATCGTTCTTATTTTTTACCTTTCCAGGCTTTTCAACTTATTGACCAAGACAAAGATGGTTTTATCTCCAAGAACGACTTGAAAGCTACCTTTGATTCTTTAGGTAAGTTATCTATCCATTTGTGTATCTAACCGCCCATTGTAGTGGCTATAAAGTCAGACATATTTATAACTTTATCTGACAGTGATCTTTCTCGAATACTCGACTCACAAGTTTCGAATTCAGAGTTTAATCTGATGTGATATCAAGAAAGGTACAGAAATAGTCTTCTGCTGGGAACTGTCAAATTTCTAAGATGTAGTCAGAAACTTAAAACCAGATTCAGACTCCGTGCACTTTTGAAAGATGGATCAGATTACGAGTAATTAATAACCAAGTAAATATGCCACGTGACTATCAATTATTTGTAACCTGTGAAATTTTCCTGATAGAGTAATATTAATTATCCGGTTTGAACAGAAACGTAAGTCGTTCGATCAGTGATAATACCGGTATTAGTTTTTTCTTACTCGAGAGAACCTACAAGGTGTATACGTCATACTGTATACTCCCTCGTGTTCATAACATCTTTTACGTTTAACAGGCCGAATTATTACTGACGATGAGGTCGAGTCTATGGTGTCCGAAGCGCCGGGAGCCATTAATTTCACCATGTTTCTCACCATTTTTGGTGACAAAATGACCGGAGGTAAGTTTTTTGTTGTTGTTTTTTTCGAACACTCTCTAATAAACTTCAACAGACAATAATATTATTCACCTAACACTTCATTATTGGCGTCCAAATCACTGATACGCACGAGTCAAGGCTTGTCCAATGGTACCAAAGAAAAAACAAATCAAAGTCGTCTGACGACGAAACTGTTTAATCAGGACGTCGAGATTATTCAAGGGTGAGACAGAAGGGTCCAACTTGGAGAATGTGTGACGTACATAGAGATTTTTGAGAGTTAGGCTTAGGTTGAAATGAAACATATAAAACTAGATTGTACTTCCGCTGGATCCCCGAAAGTGTTCTGTTTCGAGAGTAAATAAAGACAAAATTAATATTTTTGTTTATTTCTTGCTTTTGAAGTTCATGTGTCGTGCTGTGTTGTAACCTACAGTGTGCATAATTCTTCTCGTGACTCATGACGAGCGCATGTTTTACCGACGTCACGACAGCACGAGTTGTAACGTTAAGCGTCCATTATGTGACGCCATTTTAGTGTCTACTGACTGACAGACAGACAACACACTACTGTATACTGGTGTGAATAGTTAAAACAGGTGACCCCCTCCAGGCGGTCTTCGGCTCTCTTTCGAGGAAACTAATTGAAGTATATTGACCAATAACAGGAGAGAACACAATTACCCTCTACATAGCCAATCAGAAAACACTTGACTTTGTTCTCAGTAAAACTTATGACGTTCACCAAAAACTAATACCAATCCAATAACATTTGGGCCCCCCCAGTGGCACAGCGGTATGTCTTTGGACTTAAAACGCTAGAATCCGGGTTTCGATACCCGTGGTGGACAGAGCCCAGATAACCCTTTGTGTAGTTTTGTGCTTAATTACAAATAAATAACATTTGGAATTCATTTTATCAGTTTGATTGTTAATCTTTCAGGTCATATTCCAAGAAACTTAAGCAATTTTTTTTTATCTTTAACATCATTCTATCATGTGTTTTTTTGTTGTTGTTGTTGTTTTTAATAAACTAAGTTACAAGAATTAGTTGATAAAAGTTATTTTTCTCAGTTATCTCTGCCCTAAAGTCTAACTAACAATTAACTTTCTCACTATCTTTATCCTACTAGCCCCCCCCCCCCCAGTGGCACAGCGGTATGTATGCGGACTTACAATGCCCGTGGTGGGCAGAGCACAGATAGCCCATTGTGTAGTTTAATTACAAACAAACGAAACAAATTATTCTACTGTATTGTCACTGGTCAGTTATCATTTACACGCTAGTTTAACATGTTAAAATACAATTTGAATGCACGTTTTCCTTAAAGTAACAAAATACATTTAAAAAAAATGCAACTTGTAAAGAAATTTGTGTATACGTATTGTTGTAACATTGTTCTATCGTTGTGCGGGTTCCTTTGAATTATTAGGCCTACTTTTAAAAAAACTTTTCAATCTTGACGTCGCGCGCCCTCTACCTAACATTTAAATTAAAGCATCGAAAATACAGCTTACAACAGTATATATTTTTATCTTAGGTACTGATGAAGAAGACGTCATTGTCAACGCTTTCCTTCGTTTTGATGAAGGTGAAGGATTAGTTCATGAAGATACGTAAGTCATCTGATTTTTTACTTTTTTTTTGTATTATTTAAATGAAACTTAAAGTTTATCTTTAAAAAATATATATATGCAAAAATAAAATAAAAAGGAATATTATTAGAGATATCCGTAAAATTTTATTATAAATAAGAAATGCTACATTTGTGGAAATAAAATAATTTTACCCAAAGCATCGTTACCAGTATCGAATGGAGAGTTAAGCCTAACTGCGGATTTTTTGAAAATTTTGAAATAAATTTCATGACGTAACTATTCAGTATCTAACCTTACTTTGGATATTACTGCCTGTTGTTTATTGATGAAATGTACGTAATAAACATAAGTAAATATTTGATTTTTTTCTTCCTCAGCTTAAGGCACGCTTTAATGACTTGGGGCGAGAAACTATCAAGTCAGGAGGTGAGGTCGCTTTCTACTTCAGAAAACTAACACTCTCAACCTACATTTTATGTGGGCTTTTTAAGAAAAAAAAAATCTTTATTTATTAATTAATTTTTTTCTCATTAATTGAAAAATACTTTATTAAATATTTTTAGGTTTTTATTAGAAGAAGTTAAAATTTATTTTATAAGATAATTCCTCACCGTCGGATTTAAAAATACGATTAATATTGTAGATAAAATAATATTAATAGTCAGTTTTTCTAATGCAGAAAAAAAATCAACGCTAAACTCTATTTAACATCCAAGCTTACTTTGAGTTTTATGTTTCTCTTCGTAAAATATAACTTAAATTCCCTTTTATACTGTAATAATAAGGTAACATAAGTTATATACTTGTTTAACACCAGGTGGACAATGCCTTCAACGAAGCTCCTATGGACAATGAGGGCAAGATTGACCTGAAAAAATTTGCTCAGGTTCTGACCAGAGGTGCTGAAGAGGAAGAAGAAGCCGGAGCGTAAAAGTAAGAAAAAATTAAAGTATCTAGCTGAGAGAATTAGGATTTATAATATATATTATAAGAATATATATAAATTACCCAAATCATCTAGTTTTATAATTGAATAGAAAAAGTTTACCTAAAGTTACCTCACGTAAAAAAACTTTGGATTTGCATTTTAAGTATTGAGGAAAACGTATATAAATAAACGTAGAATATTTTTAGGATTATATTTTTCTGATGTAAAATTAATTTGTCGTGTTAGATTTTTTTTATTATATTAACTTTATATGTCGGGCCGGTCTGGCATGGCCTGGTGGTTAGGGCATTCGACTTACAACGAAGGGGCATTGTAATGTGACGGTTAATCTCACTATTCGTCGGTAAAAAAGAGCTGATGGTGGGTAGTGTTGACTAGTTGTGTTGGATTGGGCGAGGCCTAATGGTTTGTGTGTTTGTGGGTCGAAGGGTCCAATATAGCTGTCCCTAATTTTCAATTGATGGACAAAATTCAGCCACCTACTAGCACCTGCTGCTATAAGGGCGTTCTCTTTAAAGGCTGATTTAACAGGACTGACTGTCACTTTTATGACGCGCCCGTAACTACTTCACGTCTCGAACTCGGACCCCTTTGATCCACTATCCACTACGTCAGATCCGGTCGCGTTTCAAAGTGTATAAAATTCTCAGCTCCACTCGTTCAATGGAGATTATGTATGGTCGCTTCATCTTTAAAAAATCGCATTGTAGAAAAATATATCATAAGAACTATAAATAAGTAAACATTATGGTTTATATACTGTAATTTTATTTTACCAGTATATGACATTTACTTTTATTACATCCACAGGTCACAAAGGAGCGAGGAAACCGAAGAAATGTTCCCTGTAGCAAAGGTCTTAGTACAGCCAGCTCTGTACAGTTCGTTCTATGATCACCCTCACCATACCACCACCTCACTCATACTGTAGAATCTCCCGTAGCGACATCTAGTCAGCTTGAGCCCTTTGGCTGGAGTAATTCTTGTACGTGTGCGACTACTCCAGCCACCTCAAAAACTGCAGTGGTTAGAAAAATAATCAATCTTGTTGTGGGTGTTCTTTTTTTCTCTCCCTCTTTTTCTCGTTCTTTCTTTATTTTCCTGGCCGTGGTGTGTGGTGTCTCCCTCTACAGTTCTACTCCTTATTGCTGAAAAAAAGAAAAAAACTGATGTATAGTGACTGAAGATATCAATGTTGAAATAAATCAACTTTTTATACAGAGCTGAATTTAACGTTTGTGGTAATGTTTTTAAATTACGAATGTAACACGTCTCACACATTCTTTTAAAAGATATATAGATCAGACACATTTTGTTGTTGCTTGTAGGCAGGTGGGAATAATACCATTATCAAAACTGCAGTAGTTCGTACTCTGTTTGCTAAATCAGTAAAATGTGATTATTTTTATCGTGATACCTTAAAGAAAAAAATATTTAGGAATAAGGGAAGCAAAATTATTTGAAAATATATTTTTTTATCCAATTTGAAGAGCTATTCTCAAATTGGTAGATATTACAGTTAAAAGCCTCTGATTGATAGATATTACAGTTAAAAGCCTCTGATTGGTAGATACTACAGTTTCGAGTCTCTGATTGGTAGATATTACAATTACAAGCCTCTGATTGGTAGATACTACAGTTTCGAGTCTCTGATTGGTAAATACCATTGATCCGAAGTCCATCATTATATACATCGTCGTTAATTTCAAACGAAGATATCAACAGTACATTCACAGAACATATGCAGACTGTTTAAAACAAAGATAGATCCAGGAAGTCAGCAGGACATTCACTTTTCACACATCATGTGTAGTGTAATTTTTATACTAACGTTTTTCCACACATTACGAAAATACCTTACCTCATCAACCTTGTTTTATCCTGAAAACAAAACACGTGATTCTTCCAGAATCACCCAATAACTGCACTTGCTAAGCCACTTTCGTGAATAATGAAATGTCTTCTTGTGATTTACTTCTTTATAAACGGTGGTGCACAAGTTAATATATATTTTCTAGCTATTACTCAGAAATAAACAATAAATAAATTAGTTTCAACTGTCTTTGTAATATTTTCTTTAGTACCAACAACTTAGTAATGTTCGCTTGTATGTTATTCAATTTCAAGAAGAATAAAAAAAGAACACAAGTTCAATGCCTCTCTCCAATAACGTTTTCTAAATGCTACGTTCACTGGTAGGCCTCACCTCACAAACAAAATGTTAACAGAAATTCCGAGACTAATGTCGATTGATTACAAACACGGGACTGATTGACTTACTAACTCGATCACTGACGATCAGGCACAAAAACTTTCATTGTCTAACTCATTAACTGACACTGAACTAAATTACTCGTTCAGTTTGTAGTTTTATATTATTACTTGTTGCAATAATATTACGCAATGACAGCTCCCTCTATAAAAAAAAATTAAATCAAAATTTTAAAAATATAGGTTACAAGATTGTAACTATATACTTCAGATCTTTGTATATAGTAATTATAGTGAATAACAAAACATACTTACAATCTAAAATTTGAAATATCTCAATTCGGTTTCAAAAAAAAATATTTACTGCGTGCGTCAGCTATCAGATATTCATCAGTAGCTTTATTATCGAATTACGAAAACAAATATCATTAAGTCCTTTTAGATTTTTACTAAAAATATATACATTTAACAGTCAGAAAAAAACACAGTTACGAATTTTATGGAAACTACAAACTCATAGTATAGGTAATTTATATGTATTTCAACGTTACTGAGTTGCTCTCAGTTTGAACAAAGTGAAGGCAGCCAGTCAGGGGCACCTTACCACGCAACCATCTAAGCTAAGGGATTAACTCTCATACTTATAACACACGGGGAATATTTTATGGTAATGCACGGATTTGAATCCAGCCCGCTAGTTCCGAAAACGAGACCTCTACCACGGGACCAACACGCTATTTATTCGGTATATTTGTTTGTCTGTATATTTTATAAAATTATTATCTTGATATCTGTAAAATTTATGGGTTGGGTATGGCTCAATGATTATTGTGCCCGGTTTTGAATCCAAGGGTTTACATTCAGTGGCCTCAAAAACACCCACCGCACTTAACGCCGTTGATTCAATATAAGAGTAACTGTCCAATCCTACACAGGAGTAGCAAAAACCTGACAGTGAGTGCTATTTACCAGCTGCCTTCCAAGGGGTCACCAAACTACGGCCCGCAGGCCAGATCCAGCCTGTGAGGTTAGTTCATCCGGCCCACCACTGCACTGTGCCACAAATGAGCTAAAATGTAATTATTTGTATGGAAATATCATAGATTGTAGATAAACTACTATGTAGAAAAAATTAAAATAAGTGTAAATTAAAATAAGTGTAATTTGTCCAATCTGATTTTTGCATCTGACAGTAATATAAGTTTTAGGAAAATCAGTGAAATAAAAAATTCGGCGACTTTTTGCGACTTTGGATATCAGAGCGCTTTTTGTGTAAGTACCTGCAATGGGAGTTCATTCATGAAAGAGAATCACAGAGAAGGAAAACTTGTTGAATTTTATCGCTGCTTA